ATAGTGTGGCTGATGTGATTAGGCCCTATGATGGTGTCCCCTGAATAGATATGTGGACACAGTTGGCAACAGGCTTTGTTGCAAGGATAGGTTCCTGGGTTAGTGGTTCTGTTGTGTGGTGTGTGGTTGCTGGTGAGTATTTGCTTCAGGTTGGGGGGGCTGTCTGTAAGCAAGGACTGGCCTGTCTCCCAAGAACTGTGAGAGTGATGGGTCGTCCTTCAGGATAGGTTGTAGATCCTTGATGATGCGTTGGAGAGGTTTTAGTTGGGGGATGAAGGTGACGGCTAGTGGCGTTCTGTTACTTTCTTTGTTGGGCCTGTTCTGTAGTAGGTGACTTCTGGGTACTCTTCTGGTTCTGTCAATTCCGCACAGACACACCCCTGGAACCCTGGCCTGGGGTATTCTGTCTGCTACCCAAGATCCATAAACCTGGAAATCCTGGATGCCCCATCATCTCAGGCATTGGCACTCTGACAGCAGGATTGTCTGGCTGTGTAGACTCCCTCCTCAGGCCCTACGCTACCAGCACTCCCAGCTACCTTCGAGACACCACTGACTTCCTGAGGAAACTACAATCCATCGGTGATCTTTCTGAAAACACCATCCTGGCCACTATGGATGTAGAAGCCCTCTACACCAACGTTCCACACAAAGATGGACTACAAGCTGTCAGGAACAGTATCCCCGATAATGTTACGGCAAACCTGGTGGCTGAACTTTGTGACTTTGTCCTCACCCATAACTATTTCACATTTGGGGAGAATGTATACCTTCAAATCAGCGGCGCTGCTATGGGTACCCGCATGGCCCCACAGTATACCAACATTTTTATGGCTGACTTGGAACAACACTTCCTCAGCTCTCGTCCCCTTATGTCCCTACTCTACTTGCGCTTTATTGATGACATCTTCATCATCTGGACCCATGGAAAAGAAGCCCTTGAGGAATTCCACCATGATTTCAACAATTTCCATCCCACCATCAACCTCAGCCTGGTCCAGTCCACACAAGAGATCCACTTCCTGGACACTACGGTGCTAATAAGCGATGGTCACATAAACACTACCCTATACCGGAAACCTACTGACAGCTATTCCTACCTACATGCCTCCAGCTTTCACCCAGACCACACCACACGATCCATCGTCTACAGCCAAGCTCTACGATACAACCGCATTTGCTCCAACCCCTCAGACAGAGACAAACAACTGCAAGAGCTCTATCAAGCATTCTTACAACTACAATACCTACCTGCTGAAGTGAAGAAACAAATTGACAGAGCCAGAAGAGTACCTAGAAGTACCTACTACAGGACAGGCCCAACAAAGATAATAACAGAATGCCACTAGCCATCACCTTCATCCCCCAACTAAAACCTCTCCAACGCATCATCAAGGCTCTACAACCCTGGTGGGGACAGACTATTGCTTAATAATAATACCACTTTCTTTTACAAATTTCCTTGCTAATTGCAGGAAAAACAGAAGAATTACCTCCAGGCTGTACTGATTTTGTTCTATAGTCAGGCTAGTGAATTATCCCACTCACTGGTCATTTATGAAATTCATGAGGTGGTGTACCTCAGTTTCCCCTCTTGTACAACAGACCATTTTTGCAATAGTTTCTCTGCTGTACCAAGCTTTAAGTTTATTCTCAGGTAATAGCTGAGACACAGCTTCAGATTTTAGCACTGCGCGCGCACACACACGCGCACACACACACACACCCCCTCGTAAGATTAACCTGTCCCCCTTATTTTCAGGCTTGACTTGTTTTTTCACCTCCCTTTCCTGGAGGGCCATAATCTGAGTCTTCTAGTAGCTTGTTTGCTGACCAGATGTATTCATTATTTGCAGCTCCTTTGTGCCCATCAGCTAGGTAACTTGCATTTACACAGAGGCTTACTAGCTTGCTTTTGGATCCAAAGCTTTTAGCAGCTCAGACACTGTCTTAAAAGGGAAACATTTTACTTCCACTAGAGTTCTGATTACTTTCCACTTTCATCTCCTGCTCCAAAACACACACAGATCTGAAAAAGAAAGCACAACCTATTGTGGTCCCTTTTGGAGCCCTAATAGGATTTTAATTAAGTACCATGTTTTATTTGCATTTCTTTTACCCCTTCCCCAATATACGCTGCACACGTCCTGGGAAAATGCATATTCCTTCCATATAGTTTAACCTCCATAACATTATATTAGCCATAATAATTTTACACAAGGTGTAACTGCCTCCCCCATGCCCACACAGTTTTCATGCACACCCACCAAAGCAACAATCTGATCCCCCAGAGCCACCCCAAGGCTCAGTGTTCCCATCATTCTTCCCCTTTTCCTTTTCTTTTACCACACAAAATTCTCTTTTGCCTAACATTTCTTGCACTGTGATTACTCTCTTTTACACAACTGTACCCCGATTACACTTCCATCTTGTACAACTAGACACAACCAAGGGCAGCCAAGTTAAGTTCCAATAGAAACCCCTTACATCCTTTAGTGATTTTGATTACATTACCCAATAGTCAAATAATTTTGATCAGATTCTCTCTCTGCCTGCTGCCTGCAGCAGTCCCTCATAGACCATTTCTGTGGGAAAAGGGCCCATTTTCCCTCAGAATAGCTGTAAAGGCTTCTGGGGACAGAAGCACAGTGGTGGTAGTAGCCACTCTACCTGACCCCCTTGGAAAATTTAATTACCAAGCTTCCATCCAATGTGACTGCACAGAGTTGCACATACAGTTACATTTATATAACTGGGTTTTATCATTAAACAGAAACTTTCTTCTTGACATCTCACATAAGTGTCCAAAGTACCCTCCATTAAAACTTCAGAAAAACAAAAGAGTGTAGAAAGGCAGGTTGCACTTTGAAACTTTTTTCCCCCCCTTCTTTCTCTCCACTCCCCCAGGACCAAGTCCCAGCTCCAGTCTCTAAAGGTAGTCTGTTAACTCTGCTTTTGACTTTAAACCCTGTTGTGCCAAATCACCTTTCACTACCCCTAACTAATTTACTACCCTTCAGCAGCCCTTGCTGAAGCAGCACCAAACTTGAAAGATTACTGGCAGCTTCCCATAATGCTGCCCTTGCTTCAAACCTCTCACAAGCAGACTGAAGTGCCTCCTTTCCATGGAAGGCATTCAGTCCCCATGGGCAGGGACCTTCTTCCACTACCCATATACCAAGGAGGGTGGGCTCCTCAGCCACCCCCTGTCCCTCTGGGTCCCCTAACACTTCCTCCATTTCCTTTTTAATCTCATCCCAGGTTGACCCCTGCACCTGGTATGGGTTCTAGTTCTTCCTTACCCATTTATCCAAAAAATCCTTTACCCTGGCTTGCCAGAACCTGCAACTGCCATCATGAGAGTTCGCGATACCTCCTCCAAGCAGCTGCGCGGACTGTTGGGGAGGGGAACTTACAGGCTGCCACTCACCTATCCAATGAGATGCATCTGAGTCACCGGCACCAAGATGTTAGGGGGCTTATTCCTTCACCCACTTACTTCCCTGGTCCTTCTCGCATGAACAGAGAGCAACAATACCCGAAGTCCAAAGGTGCAAACAATTTGATGTTTATTGGGGTGAACTTCCAGCAAGCATGATTCCAGTTTCCTTCCTTAGTGTCCCCCTTCCCAGCTCTGACACCACAGAGCCTTACACCTGTGTCCCTGTTCCCATTCCTGCCCTTAGCCAAACATGATTCCAATTTCCCCTCCCCCATTCTCCGTTCCCATTCCCCCCCCCACACCCACCCACTCACTCACTCACTTCCTGATTCACTGCAGACTATATAGTAAAACTTGAGTTCTGCTTAGCTATACCTTAACCAGTCATTTTCCTGAAATTTAACTAACCAGTCCTAACATATTGTAACATGATCATGTAACCAATTATATCCCAGCACCTTAATTAGTTTACACCCAGCATAATTAATTATACAGCAGACAGAAACAATCACAGAACCAGACAGAGATTATACAGACAAACAATGGCAAAGTGGGAACTATAATGACAAGACAATACAGAAGTGAGGATTTCACATCCCAGCTATTGATAAGTGAGTTCTTGCCAGACAGGATGCTATCAAACTAAGTTTCCTTTTACATCTTCTAGGCACTTCCCTTTCTCTGGAAGTGACAGGCATTATCAGGACAGGATTGTATTCCTAACAGCCCAATAGCACCTTATTTCAATGGGACTAGTTTGGAATGTGAGCATGTGACTGGTCGCTTCCCAGTTTATGGCTGCCTCTGTTGCTTAGCCAAAGGCCTTAGCCTAAGAACAGGGCCTCAGACTGTCACAATAAGAGAAGGACCTTACACTGGCAGACAGTGATTTTGATTCTTTCTTTTATACCTCTAACTAGCCAAGTGATAAGAATACACCTAAATTCTTAAAGTACAGGCCTTTGCAGACAGGCCTGAATATCTATATCCTAACAGTGTCAAACTTGCCCAGGTCAATTCAGTTACTGATACATGTCATACTTAATAGTTTGCACTTAAAAGAAGAGCTGGAAGAGAAAAAAGGAAAATACAAAGGGGGGAATAAACAAAGAAAAACCCAGAAGACTGATTTTTTTTTTCTCTCTCATAGTAGTTGCACAGAATGCCTATCTTAAAATTTCCTTCCTGTGGTTAAGGGGACATGCCTCATCTATCTTAGCTACATCTAGGATATTGTTGGAAACCATATTGCTGTTACCTACCAAAATGAGTTTGATCTTTGAAATATGATTAGTGCTTTGGTAGACAGTTGGGATGCAATGACTTCAAGTCCTTTCTGTACTTCTCTGAAAGTGTCCTGTGGATAGACTTTAATGGGTTCAATTGAGCAGCTAGATTTGTTCAGCACTAAGCAGAGGTTGAAAAAGAGAAGAAGTCAGGTTGTTCTTCCATGGAATTTCTACTGAATCAATCCTTTAGATAGTAATTTTGTTGTTTTTCAGCAAGAAGTGTGCTCCAGTAATTATAAACAATCAATCTGTTTTTGTTTGTTTGTTAGTTTCTAGTGCCAAACTGAAAAGGAAAAAGAACTGGTTTGGAACAGCCATTTATACAGAATTAGTTGCAGATGGAGAAATCAAGAAAACAGCAAAATCAAATAGTTCTTCAAATCCAAAATGGGATGAACAGTTGACTGTGTAAGTAGAAAAGCTTTTTCTAACTTCGTAAAATATAATTTATTAATCAAACATTAGAGACAAATAGTTACCAAACTCTGCCGTTGGCTGCATACACACAACTTCCTTTAACTTCATTGAAAGTTGCATGTATCTAATGGCAATATTTGTCCTAAAATAACTATTGTTGCACATTGTGTATATGAGGTGTCTTGGCAAGTTTATTTCTAAACAGGAGTGGGATATCTTTATATACGCTTGATGCACGACTGTATATCTCTTGCACTGTGGACTCCGTTCAGCTCAGTCCATGCTGTGTAGGAATGCTTACAGGATGTTGCCAGCTGGATGCATCAGTAATCTTGTTCTCACCCATAGGAAAACAGAAATCCTGTTGCTGGATAGAGATTGTTTTGAGGAGGGTCATTCTTTCTTTGTGTTATCCTTCGAGAGGTACAGTCAGAGGTACTTCATCAAATTGAGAATCTTGATATTGCTTTTGACCACAAACATTTCATGGAAAGCCAATGATGTGGTATCTGCCATGTTCTAGGGTGCAGTTAATATCAATGAGAAGTAGAGTCATCACTTGTATTTCAACCCTGAATGCCCCAAAATGGTTCTGCTACTTGTGGCTCCGTGTCTGGGACATACATACAGACAGCATCCACTTCATGTTCTGTATGCTGTACAGCTCTGATTCAACCGATTTGAATCCAACAGCCAGCCAGCAGTTATCATAGACACACTTCTGTCTTTATTAGACATGGTTAATGTTAGCAGGTGATCCCAACACAACTCCAGTCCTGAACTTCCACAAACCTGTGTGCTCTGATATGTCCAGCCCTCTCCTGCAATATTCAGAGGAATAAGAAGACCAAACACACCAGTTTGCCACATTAACTGGAGTTGACATTAACTTTGGTACAACACAGCACTGTTAGTTTAATTGTAAAACAGGTTGATTAGCAAAAGAAGGTACGATTTTAAGTGAGTTCAAGTACAAGTGATAAAGTTATAGATGGTTACAAACAAATAAAAGTGAGAACACACATGAAAAGTCTAAAACTTCATCTAGTAAGTTTTGGTTCAAGACTTTGTTCAAGATGGCCTTTCTCTCCCACAGTCTTCCAGCAAGATAGCGATCGACCTTCTCCTTAGTCAGAGGTCCAAAGGTGCTGGTGTCTTTGTCTTTGTAGGTAAAAGAGATAATTTGGGGGTCTATGCCCCTTTCTTTTATAGTCCAGTGAATCTTGGAAGTGAATTCTTCTGAAGGATACCCCTCAAAGTAAAGGCTATTCTAGCTGTGGGGAAAGTGATATGGAGTCTGGTGGAGAAGGAAGCACTGTGCTCTTTCATCCCCCATTTGTGTTTGCTGAAATGAAAATTGTTCTATTTCTTGCCATCTCTTCTCTCTGCTGTCTTGATGAGTCAGTTTACTACTTATATGTAAAATGGGGTAAACACACACCCCTTTGTTTAGGGTAGTCCTGTCTGATAATTTTTTCCCTGGAAGGGCTGTCTGGTTTTGAACCTGTGCTAATAACATTATAGAGGGGGAATTCATGACTTTATATGTAAAGTTGCAACATACTTTTTATCATGATGATATTGACCAGGGAGGAGTTAGTTTTCAAATGATACCTTACAAGGCATATTTTGTACAAAGATTATTAGAATAATGTGCAAGGTGTGAATCCAAGGGTGGTTTGGGTCACAATATCAAGGTGCTTTAATTTCACAATTTGTGTTGAGAGCAGCTTCACTCATATGGCCTTGTGTAAACACTATAGACCATTGTGATGACAAGCTTACACTGTTGTCATTTTCTTTTAGCCGGGTTTTTAGTAGATCATCTGTGTTACTTACAGTTTGTTGTGAATGAAGCAACATATTTGCTCATTAGTTTGAGTAACCATGATCTATGTTGTCTGCCTATAATATAGTCATCTATTAAAGAATTACTTTACATTACTTATTTACATTACTTTAAAGAAAATCAATAGAGATAGTTTAAGGTTTCGAACAATGTTGGCCCATGCTGTAGTTGAGGTCTTGTTTTGAAGGATACCTATTCTCAGGCTCCCACATTGTCTTTAATTGGCAGGCAATTATGCCTTTGTAGCAGTAGCCCCTAAAGTGCAAAGTTTGCTTCCCAACTCTTAAAAAAACTGAAAACTTTTCCCCAAAAAGTATTTGTAATATAACCACTGTTTTGTTCTATTTTGGTTACCTTGCCTCTTTCCTCCCAGTGGTGTATCTTAGTCTCATCACTTGGCGTGGGTTTTTTTGTTTTAATTTTAAGAGCATTTTTAAAAATTGTTTTTAATATTGTATATTCTATGTGTGTGCAATTCTTAAATTAATATGTTTGAGGGCATCTGAGCAGTTAATTTCAGTATTCTTGATCAGTGGTGGCTATTCAGCGGTCTCTCTAATGATACAAGCTGAAAATCAAATATTTGTCAATAGAAAAAAATAGGAAGTTTGTATTTAAAATTATGTATGTGGGAAAACGATCTCAATAATTGAAATCTGAGTTTGATGTAAGTAGTTATGTTCCCAAGTATTTTCACACTATTGTAATAACATACCTTAGTCCTGATCTGTGCCTGAAAGATGTTACGTTGATTTTTCTGTTTCACAGTGCTTTTGTGATATAGTTTAAAAAAGAAACCAAAACTTTTCACTACCAAAAATTACAGTGGTTATGGGGAAACTGATTAAAATAGATAATACATTTATAATAGTGAAAGATGAGTACCTACACCTTAATTTTTTTTAAAAAAAATATTTTCTATACAGGAATGTGACTCCACAGACTACGTTGGAATTTCGAGTGTGGAGCCATCACACTTTAAAAGCTGATGCTTTACTAGGAAGAGCCACTGTAGACTTGAGACAAGCTTTGGAAATGCACAATAGAAAATGTAAGTTTTCATGGATGGCCTATTGATTAAGGAAAAAAAATTGATTATTTCAGTTATATTAATTCTGGTAGTTTTGATGTAATGACAAAAAATTGTCATGTAATTTAAAACAGACCTTCAGGGCCTGACTCTTTGAGTTATAGAGAGAGATTTAAATTTATAGTGAGAGAGAAATTATTTCAAATAATACTATATGATATGGATATAAACTGGTCATTGGGAAGTTTAGACTTGAAATTAGACAAAGGTTTCTAACCATCAGAGGAGTGAAGTTTTGGAATAGCCTTCCAAGGGAAGCGGTGGGGGCAAAAGACCTATCTGACTTTGATTAAACTTGATAAGTTTATGGAGGAGATGGTATGATGGGATAACATGGTTTTGGCAATTAATTGATCTTTAAATATTCATGGTAAATAGGCCCAATGGCCTGTGATGGGATGTTAGATGGGCTGGGATCTGAGTTACTACAGAGAATTCTTTCCTGGGTATCTGGCTGGTGAATCTTGCCCATATGCTCAGGGTTTAGCTGATTGCCATATTTGGGGTCGGGAAGGAGTTTTGGGCAGATTGGAAGAGGCCCTGGAGGTTTTTTTGCCTTCCTCTCTAGCATGGGGCACGGGTCAGTTGCTGGAGGATTGTCTGCTCCTTGAAGTCTTGAAACCACGATTTGAGGACTTCAGTAACACAGACATAGGTGAGAGGTTTATCGCAGGAGTGGGTGGGTGTGATTCTGTGGTCTGCGTTGTGCAGGAGGTCAGACTAGATGATCATAGTGGTCCCTTCTGACCTTAATATCTATGAATCTATGAACTACTGAAAAAAGTGAGAGGAAACTATTAAATAAAGATATGAGGATATATGTTTTCTCTGATTAGTTACAGAATTTCCATTGTGTAGCAGGATCTATTGCAACCCCCCCCAAATGGCCAAACATTTCATGCAACCCCCCAAATGAAAAAATGTTTAGCCATATACAAGGCTCTCTAGTCTTCCCTGGATTAATAACTTAACAGGCCAACTTTCACACCACTGTGATAGATAGTATTAGACTCCAATGTCGAACAAAATTATTGACCCTTCCTTCAGGATGGATTGATTATAAATCACTGATTTTAAGCATGATTTAAATCCGCATGCTGGAAATCTTGATTTAAATAATTGATTTTAATCATGTTTTGCATTTGTACTGCTTAGTTATTTTCTTGAAGGATGATTGATTCTCATTTGTTGGTAACCATTAAAACATGTAGATTTGCAACTAAATATAGACTTCACACTAAATTCAGTGTCTCTCTTTGCTAATGAGGAGGATGCGCTATAGTTATACACATTTATGTAAGCAGTTATATAGCTTATATTATGTTTATTCAAATTCTTAATTTTTACATTATTTTATTACGTAAGAAAACAGTGAATGATGTATTTCTTATTTACTAGATTGTTTTTATTTGTGACTTGTGTGAAGCTCTATTTGGATGGAAATTCAAATTAAATTAAATTAAAAAACAAAACCATCATAAATTATTTTAGTACATAATGAGTTTAAAAGTGATGACTACATAAGAAAGTTTAACAAAAGTTTATCAAAACATGTTTTGCATTAAAACTAACTGATTTATTCAACAAAAAAAGTATCTGTAGTTAGTCAATTGAACAGATTATTTTGGGTCACTGTGTCCTTTAGGATTTTAAAATTTGTAAGTCTCATCCTCTCACACTTGGTTTTTATTCATTGGATGAGGAAAACAAGTTTTCCTGGTTTTTCAACTCCCTGTTGGCTTCTTAGCTTCGAATTAATTAGTCATTAAGCTTAACTAGTTGAATAAAGTGTAATGAAGAAATTATTCTCTCTGCACCAGCAGTAGAGGCTACTGGTGTCAAAAGCTGGTTTAGTACTTCAACAAATTCTGGTTCCAGGTGCTTAGCCAGTGACTTCCACCAGTTCAGTGGTGTGACTTTCTTTAAAACTTATGGTAAACATATACTAAATATCTTTGTATTTAGTTTAAATGATTTTAATAGATCATAATAACATAGTACATTAGTGATTATCACCTACATTTTCTCTTGCATAAGGAAACCTCCCTGATGCCTATTGCCCCTGCCAGAAGAGTTAATGAGCTACAAGATTTTTATGTCGTCTTCTCCTTTTTTAATTTTTTCATTAGAACATGAAAGTGGTGATTCATACTTTTAAATTTCACCCCCAAATGGCATTGAAATCCCAGCTAAACCAGTAGCTCAATCTCATTTTTCCCAATCTATAGATGTCATACAAAACCTCAGAATTTATAATGAGGGAAAACTGAGAATGTAAAAAATGTTTCTTTACATTTTTCTTACTTATTAGAAGACATCCAAAGGGGAACCCACCTCTAAGTGGAATGTCTTCATTCGTATTATGAAGATGCCAGACGTGGCTCCATAGTTAGACATGTTTTCTGTTCTGCACTTCGAGCAGAGATTCAACCTTGTTTATGTGTTAAATATACAGAATATCCTCTCCAAAACTTAGTGCTTCCACTTTGAGCTCAGAAAATTCAAGTGTATTCAGAATTGAGTTATAATTAATTTAAAAATGGGTTCTTTAAGTAATTTAGCATGTTAGATTGTTTTTGTCCCAAATCTTAGTAACATAATAGCACAATCTTTAAACTTTCCATATAGAGAAAATAAAATTTTAAAAAAGGCTGATAATACATATCTTAAAACAATTAGAAATATCTTATGGGAGCGTTTGCTTTGGGTTTCTTGTTTAGTGTTTGTGTATGACATTTTTGTAATAAAAAAAGGGAAATTCTAAGACAAAAGGACAACAGCAAGATTTGAAATGTAGTTAAGGCACACAAACAACATTAACGCTGCCCTGTAAGAGGGGAACTAATGAAAACTATTTTTAAAGATGCAGCTAATCTGAGACCACAAACACTAAAATCCCTACAACTTAAGTTCGTTATTGCATGACTTTGCTACAGATGACTGTTAAAATTCTTTATTTTCATCCTTAATGAGTTTGGATTTTTTTTAAGGATAACTTAAGTATAAGTCCAAATTTTCTGGATTGGTAGTGCTTGGTTTTTCTTTGAGTGCTTGCTCATGTCCATTCCATTCCGCTACATGTACTGATGCCAGAAGTTTTTCCCTCAGTGATATCCATAGGGGACCAGCTCTGGCGCCCTCTCCAGTGGAGTGTGTATGCCGTGGTATGAGGGGCACTGCTGGCTCCCCCCACCCTCAGTTCCTTCTTACTGCCAGTGATGGTGCTAGACCATTTCCCTGCCTCAGCTAACCTGTGTCTCAACTGCTCGTTGTCAGCTATTTTACTGCATATTGTTGTTAAAAGTCGTTAGTTTAGTTCCATTAGTGTAGCTAGTGTTAGTTCATAGTCCCAGATGGGACTTAGCCTAGGGACGGGGCATGCGCCGGTCCCTGGGCTTCAAACCCTACGACTGCTGCAAAAAACCTATGCCAGTGACCCCCCACAGTAGCTGTCTAAGGTGCTTGGAGGACACTCATGTTAGCGACAAGTGTCGCATTTGTAGGAGTTTTAAACCTCGGACCAAGAAGGAGCAGGACATTTGTCTCAAAGCACTCCTTATGGAGTCGGCACTTGCACCGGCACAAGAGCTGTCCAGATCAGACTCTGCTTCCAGCACCGTGGCTGATCCCCGTCCTTGGTACCGGCAAAGAAAGGCCAGGGTGGGACCTTTTTCTGCATCCTGAAGGGGAAGGAGAGGGCTGGAGGAGAGCAAAGACCTGTGAGGGGCAGCTCTTCGCCTCCGGATGGAGGTCGGTCCCCAGCTTCCGCCGAGTGGGCTAGTCCACTTCAGGAAGCACCCGCCACCCTAGAAAGTGGCATGGGCATTCGGCACCTGGCAGTGCCATCTACACTGGAGGCCCTGCATGCTGCTAAGGACATCCTGTCCCTACTGGTGCCGCCCACGCCGGTTACAGCCGTACCCCGCTGCAGGAATAAACCTGACTTGGGATCCTTCCAACAGTCCCCATCAGTGTGGCACCGCTCCTCACCCCAAGGAGTGTCCCGCCAGCACTCACTTGTGCAGAGCCGCCATGCCCCGAACACAGGTCAGCCCACCCGTCAGAGTCCCCCGCGTCGGTCCCTGGATGCCAGGCGGCACTCTTCAGGCTCGAAGCGGCGATCGCCAGTGGAACAGTGCAGACCAGCAGAGGTGTGCCCGTCCCTGCACCTCCAGTGGCGAGAGTGCCCTAGCCGCTCTCCCAGTGTGCGGCACTGCTGGTCTTGGAAGCCCTATTACTTGTCACCGGAGCGCCAGTACAGATTGTCATGGTCACTCCAATGTACCCTGGCACGGCGACCTACTCGCTCCAGCTCAACGGACCGGCAACGCTTGCTGAGTGTTAGGTGTAGATCGCCGAGTTCCTGTTGCCGACCTGCCTAACGTCGCCACTGATCCCCTGTGTCACGGCACAGAAAGTCATTGCCCTTGTGCAGATCCCCAGCGGAGCCTCAGGGCCAGCACCGACGTGACCAGGGTAAACAGTTGGCCTTGGCACTGTCCTGATCCCCACCGGATGTGGCCCGTCCGCCTCGGGCTCCATTAGCGAGGAGTCCCTGCCAGCGGGCCAGGGTCACTCATCGGGGGTATCGGCATTCCCCACAAGACCACTGGCCTGCCCCCTGGCACCTCCCGGGGGGTTCCTGCAGCCTTCACAAGGGTGTAGGTCAACCTCGGGGGCATTGGATAAGCAGTCGGTGATGATCTGCCTGCCCCGTCCGCCCCCCCCTCCCCCGACATGGAGGTGACACTGGAGAGGACCCCTCAGGGTCTCTCGGTCCTAATGGAGGTGCTCGTGGAGGAGGCATCGGTGGTGGCAGACCTGCCAGTACCCACCACCTCTTCATCCTCGCTCAATGAGGCGATTACGGGTCTTCTCACCCGGTCCCCAGGTTGATGCCAAGGTTCATCAAGATCTTCTGAAGAGCGTTGCCTCAAACCAGCAGCTAGAAGCCGATGAGCTGGAGGAGCCCTCAGACTTCCTCTTTGACTTGCTGAGTTCGGCTGCCCCTGCTATGGTGGCACTGCCAGTGCATGAGGGAGTGGCAAAAATTACCCAGTCCCTGTGGCAGACGCCCTTGTCGCTGCCCCCCATGTCCAAGTGGGCAATACGCAAATATTATGTGCCGGCTAGAGGTTATGAATACCTTTACACCCATCCTGCCCCAAGCTCACTGGTGGTGTCGGCCTTTAATGAGCACAAAAGGTAGGGTCAGCTAGGTGCGATGCCTAAAAATAATAAAGAGGCAAAAGGCTCGATCTCTTCGGAAGAAAAATTTATTCATCTTCCAGCCTCCAGCTATGAGTAGCGAAGCATCAGGCCTTGCTCAGCCTCTGTGACTTTAACATCTGGCATCCATGGCTAAGTCTTCGAACTCGCAGCCTGAGGACCCCAGGAAAGAATTCCTGGCGATCCTCGATGAGGGCAAGGTGGTGTGAGGACAGCCCTCCAAGTGGTCTCAGATGCAGCGGACTCTGCAGCCTGAACCATGGCCTTGGCTATAGCCCTGAGCCGAGTGTGACGGGTTGGATCACAGAAAACTCCTTGGGAACTGCCAACTGATGTGCTGAGACTACCCCTGAGCCTATTTCCTTTGGCAGCTTGGGACTTCAGTGCCCTGCCTGGTTTGAGCCAGACACACTAGCCTGCTGCAAA